CCTAAGGATCTCCTGGGACGGAGGAGGCTTTCCTCAGATTGGCATCGCTCTGACCTGCTGGACCACTCTTTCACCACATGAGGGCGTAGGATACCTACCTTTTCCGGCTATTCTTTTGACCAGATCCAAGTGGAGAAGGGGATTCCACAGGATTTATACACACATGCGTATAATTTTACGCTATCTGGTTAGTGTAAATTTCCACCATTTGCACTAGGAATCACGGAGCACTTCTTTCATTGGACTGTGTTTATCACTCTTTTAAGCGCTGCATTTTTATATTTTAAGCTGATAAGATACATGGAGGAGCTCAGCTATGAGGAGAGATTAGAGGAACTGAATTTATTCTCTCTTGAGAAGAGGAGATTAAGGGGGGATATGATCACCATGTATATATACATCAGTGGTTCATATAGTGAACTCGGTGTAGAGCTTTCACCCTGAGGTCATCACAGAGGACAAGGGGGCACTCTTTACGTCTGGAGGAAAAGAAATTTAATATCCAAACACGGAAAGGTTTCTTCACAGTGAAAGCTGTGAAAATATGGAATAGACTCCCTCAAGAGTTGGTTCTGGCCAGCTCAGTGGATTGCTTTAAAAAAGGCCCGGATTCTTTCCTAGATACACAGAATATAACTGGATACTAACATTTATAGGTAAAGTTGATCCAGGGAATATCCGATTGCCTCTTGGGGGATCAGGAAGGAATTTTTTTCCCTGCAGGAGCAAATTGGCTCATGTCTTGCGGGGTTTTTTTGCCTTCCTCTTGATCAACTGTGGGTATAGGATTATAACCTTTTTTTTTTTTAATGGTTGAACTGGATGGACTTTTGTCTTTTTTCAGCCAGACTAACTATGTAAATAGTGTACATGGGGTAATGCACCCCAAGAAGCCTGATACTGCCCCTAACATCTGGTATTGTGTGCATTAATGCAGGTTACATTTAAAGCAACCCGTTAATTTTGAAGGGGCTGTTCACATACCCCCAACACAGTTTTTAATGGACTTGCACCCTTTTTACTTACGCAGTGCAGCACAATGCACAGCTGGTGAAATGTGTGCTTTGTTGTTGTTGTGCATCAAAACACTTACATTGTGGTGTGCTGGCTGAGTGCTTGAGGTGACATTCAAAATAGTTACCAGGACAAACACAGGGGGTGGATGTCCCCGGAGGGACACAGGCAGCAGTAAAATTCTGAAAGGTGTTCTACCCTTCCATAATTAAAAAAAAAAAACAACCCAATGTCAAAAGAGCCATCAGGACCAAAAGAAGACCAGTAGAAGATGGCAGCACATGGTGCAATGAGGGTAAGCATGAACCTGTTAACACTGGAGAAGGCCAAATCAGTGTGTAATTCCGACATAATGACAGCCAGTGCAGTTGTTTCTCTGCGTGCTTTCATCTTCCATAGGCAGTCCTCTGTGGTATATGCTGTTGGACTGTGCGTAGTTGTTTTCCAGACACACAATCATGCCACCGCAAGTGATTCAGCTGATCCTTCCAGGAGCTCAGAAAATATAGCCACTCGGGCATGGTGGTAAATGGGGACGTTAATGTATCTAGACTTGGCTACACATGCAGATTTTCATCTTGCTAAAAATCTGTGATTGATAGGAGGACTACGTTAGTGCAATGTATTCAAGTGATTGTCTTAGAAAAAGTATGGGGGCTGCCATTGCTGGCCTCTGCTTTGAAAATGTTTGTTCCCTGGCTTCTCTGCTGATGCTTTGGCTTCAATGCTTTCTGAGTGTCTCTGAACAAGTAAAAAATAAGACATATTGATGTTTTTCTGACACCCATTTTTTTTTTACTATTTACTATTCTAATACGACTATATGGCGGGGGGGGGGGGGGGTAATCTTGCTATAGGTCTGCTTTACATAAACAAATGTGGTAAGACGCTTATAATTTTTCGATGTATTACATGAAAATCTATTATATGTTTGCCTTATGAATGCCTTGTACCGAAAGCAAATAAATTATGAATAGCTGGAAATGTAGATGAATTGACCCAGTGATATAGTCTGAAGTCTAGATGGGACTTTGTTGCCATGCCTGCAGAGCACTCTATGATATATAAGCTCATTAGATTTTCCATCTTCTGTCAGCTGCAATTATTTCTCATATGTGTTTTCAGAATTGTTTCCTGTTCCATATTCACCAGAGATACAACTGAGGGCCCTTAGAGTCTAAGCACTCTGAATGTAATGGAAAGATTGACAGGTTGTCACTTTCTGTAATGTTCAAAGAATTACAATGACAGACGGCCTGAGGGAGAAATAAAATATCAGTTCCTATTTCCTTTTTTCCTATCTAAGAAATCCTAATGTAGTTAGTGTACGTTTCCTGTACAAGGACTTTAAACACTGTAATCCCAAATCCCTGTGATAGTTGTGCTATACTGTAATGGGCATTCACTGTCCTAAAAGTGCAGTAAACCAAAGCAGCCAATTGGTCCGTTAATGTAGTTAGATGAAGAATAGCTGAAATATGTTTTCTTGCCATCGTTCAGTGAACTTTGCACTTTGCCATTTCACTACCTTATCAAATGTTTTCATGCATGTCCCTAAATGTCTTTTAACCACTTGACCTCCGGAAGGTTTTACTCCCAACATGACCAGGCCCTTTTTTTTTTAATTTTCTATTCAGCACTGTGTTATTTTAACCACTTCAAGTTCGGACACTTTCATCCCCTTCCTGTCCAAGACAATTTTCAGCTTTCAGTGCTATCACACTTTGAATGACAATTGCGCAGTCATGCAACACTGTACCCATATGAATTTTTTAGCATTTTTTTGAGACAGATAAAGCTTTATTTTGGTGGTATTTATTCACTACTGGGATTTTTTTTTTGCTATGTAAATTAAAAAGTCCTAAAATTTTGAAAAAACAAATTTTTCTTATAAAATTTTGCAAATAAATAGTATTTCATTATAAATCTTGGCCACAATTTATTCCGTTATATTTTTAGTAAGAAAAAAATTACCCACATTAGTTTATAACCAAAAATTATAATTTTTAAACATTTTTTTTTTATATATATATATTTTTTTTACTGTCACCTAGCAGTACAGTGTCACCATGGTGACACTGTACTACTTGTGGGGGGTGATGAAGATTTTTTTTTTTTTACACCGATTGCTTTTACACCCATAAAGGATGTAAAAACAATCATTTGTCCTTCTCTCTAGCTGCATTCTTGCAGCCATTGAGAACTACTGAGTGAGCTGTGATTGGTCACAGCTTGTCACATGGTGCAAGGCTGGTGTAAATGGCCCTGTACCATGCGACTTCTGTGATCATTCACAGATTTCACACGTAGTAAGCAATGATGTCACAAGTGACATCTTGCTTTCTACTCTGCATGTGATCACTGATTGGCCAATCGGTGATCACATGATTGGGACCTCGTACAGCGGTCCCGTCCAACGATCGGAGTTCTACTGTGTCCGGAGGACACAACGGGCACCAGATTGCGGTGCTGCACACTCCCAGGGAACGCGCACAAGCAGGGTGCAGGGAGGCCGTTTATGAACAGCCACCTGACCCTGCACTGTCACTGTCCGGGCCGTTTATATAAAACGGCCAGACGGGAGGTGGTTAACTGGTAATTGCGTGGTCATGCAATACTGTACACAAATGACATTCATATAATTTTTTCACACAAATATAGCGTTCTTTTGGTTGCATTTGATCAACACTTTTTTTTGTATATAGACATCCAAAAATACCAACAATTTTGAAAAAAAAAACAATATTTTTTACTTTTTGTTATAAAACCTATCCAATAAAATCAAATTTCTTTTTAAATGTAGGCCAAAATGTATTCTGCTGCATGTCTTTGGTAAAAAAAAAATCCCACCTCTAAGACTGTGTTTTTGGGGACACTAGTATAGTTCTGACTTTGACCAGGTTACTGATCTGGACAGACAACACACTAGTAATGGCAGAGATCTCTGACTGTGATAGTGTGGTGGGCAATCAGGGAGTGGCACTAACTGACATGGTCTGGGAGGGACACTGACACTATCTGACATCGCTAGTGACACTAACACAGTGATTAGTGATAAAACAGTACATTGTCACTGTACTAATGAAACTAGCTGGGTGACAGGGGTGATCAGGAGGGCAATCAAAGGGTTAACTGTGTGTCTAACAAGTGTGTGTGTGTGCTGATTTTACTTAGACTGGCTGGCTTTTCTCCCTGATCTCAGCTCTGAATGGTAAATGAGATCAGGGATTAAACCATCCAGATCTGTGTTCTGTGTTTAACAGCACACTGATCTCTGTGCTGTGGTTAGCCACAGCTGCCAGCAGGTTCACAGCGAAATCATTGGCTGATAGCCTGCTGACAAACTCATGGTGTGTCCAACCACAGCATGTCTGTAAACCCGGAAGTTACCCGCGACATATGGATATGTTGCAGTGGAACAACAGAGCCACCGGCCAGCAGTAAAAGTTCAACTACTGGTCGGCAAGTGGTTAATCACCATCATATTTCAGATCTCCGAAAAATGTCACTGAAACCTTTCATCATCTTTAGTTCTTTCACAAGGCAACATCAAGCACTTTGAGAACCAGCTTTAGAGTGTGGTGGGTTCTGGGGCTAGCATTCTCATCTTGCTTTCATTACCTAGTGATTAATTGACGTGCAACAGTTAGGCAGAAATGGACCTCATACTTTTCAAACTGTATGTTTTTCCAGGTCACTAACTCGAAAGCGTAGTAAACCCAGAATGTAACCTTCCAACACTTTCCCCAAAGTAAAAAAAAAAGAACCATTCTGACTAAACAAGTAAGCATAAAACAGATATGGCATGGCGATAAACTCATATTTTGTTTCAATTCTGCAGAGAACACCAAGGGGATCTTGGAATTTCATAAGTGTGTAAAGGGACTTGACCTATGACACATATTATAGTTATGTATCAAATCTTCAATGTAATGCAGATCATAGAAAAGTAATATCATATCTCACATACTTTATCTTACTTGTAGAAATCAGAAGAAATGTGTCAACAAGTAAAACAGGAATTGTCTTGTTCAATTGAGATGAGGAAAACAGAGCAGATGGAAGCTGAAAGAAAAATGGAGGAGCTGAATAAGGAGAAAACAGAGCTGCTACAGCTGTGCATGGAGAGAGGGCGTACTTTACAGGAGCGCCAGAAAGAACTATCAGAACTAAGTAATCATCTACAAGGTGCAGAGAAGCACGGCACGGCGAAAAGCAGAAGAGCGCTATCAGAGAGATTTAACAGCTGTGGATGCTGATTCCAGAGTGCAAGAACTGAATTCAAGACTGAGCAACAGCGAAAAGCAATTAGAACAGTTGAAGAGAGAGTCTGACGCCTACAAAAAGCACAGTGGAGACTTGTTAGCAAAGGAGAGAGAGCTGAATGCCAAACTACGGCACTTGATTGGGTAAGAGGGTGCCATAGGTACACCAGGGCCGGGTCTAGCCTGTCTGATCTGGGGGTGCAGTAAAAAATGTCAGGGGGTAGAGGATACGAGGTTGGCTGGGTACTGTATAAGAGTCAGTAAGGCAGTGTACATGGGGTTAGCAGGGCAGAGGTCAGGAGTTTGTAGGGCAGTGTACAGAGGCCATTAGTTTGTAGGACAGTGTAAAGTGGGTTATCAAGACAGGTGTTAGTATGGCAGAGGACAGGGGTTAGCAGGACTGAGGATAGGGGTCAGCAGAATGGAGGACAGGGGTCAGCAGGGCAGGGCACATGTGCCAGCAGAGCAGGGTACAGGGTTCAGCAGGGCAAAAGAAAGTGGTGAACTGAGAAGAGAACAGAGTCACTGTTGGCAAGGCATTCAAGGGATCATCTCCTCGTCACACAGCACATAGCTGAGAGTGGTATTCCTCCACACAGTGTGTAGGTGGCTACTGCAGCTGCCAATCCGCTCAGGGAATTTCACAGGTCAGAACTGCAACATAGCAGCTAGCTACACATAGTGCAGATTAAAGCTGTGTGTGTTAGGGTGCCCTGTGTACAGTGGGGGCAGTGCCAGGACAAGGTCATCTACAAACTGCGCCTCGTGTTCCCGATGTATGAGCAGCAAGTCTCACCAGAATTCCCTCCCCCCCCAAAAAAAAACACTAATCAACATGCTCATGCCTAAGCATACATTACCCCTGCAAGCCAAAATTCTCCCTAAAACAAAAATGAAAAAAAAATCCCCCTCATCCCAGTCCAAATCCCCCCTCCCAGCACAAATCTTTGCCCCCCAATCCCACCTTCCAGCTCAAATTCCCCACAAATCTCTGCTACCCAAAAAAATCACCCCTCCTAGCACACATCCTCTTTCCTTCCAAATACCCCCTGCTAACAAATTATCCCCCCAACCCCCCCTCTTAGATTGGAATGTACAGGGTTTGATTACACGCCATATATCGCTTCCAAGGACTGCTCATCTCCCAGAAATGTGGATAGGAGAGGGTAATTGAGCCATGTACAGTTTGATGAGATCCTGTGTCACCTGCTGTATGGAGGAACGCTTTATGGCAGGAAAGGAAAGATACACAGCACAGCCCACAACTCCTTCCAGCCACTACCACTTCTTCTGTCCAGACTTTTTAGTTCACTACACCAGGCTGTCCCTCCATGCCCCTTGTCCCTGCCCTGAGTGTGGGGATTGAGGGAGAAGCTCAGCAGACTTGGGTACAATGTCCATGCATGGAGGGTAGCCTTGGGGGCGGGGGCTCAACTGAAATCTGGGGTGGGGTTCAACCCACCCCCCTAGATCCGGCCATGAGGTACACAGTCATAAGAACTGGGCAAAAAACTGTACTTTGTCTCACCAATTATGTTTAATGCTTTTTGTAAAACAAGATTTTTGTATGTTTTACATGAGATTCATCTTTTTAAATGTACAGAATTGTGCCAATATTTTCTAGAAAAAAAAACAATTCGTTTTTCAATATAAAGATTATGCCAGAATTTGTATTTTATATATTTTTGTTTCTCAGTCACTTTTTATCCTTTTGCTATTTTAAAAGCTTTACCTCTGCTATTATAGTTGATCTGCCAACATTTACACGATAATGTTTTAATAAAGAAATTTTGTAAAGTAAAAAAAGGCCACTTGCTTTACCTGTGAGGCTCAGATACAGTGGCGGGCCATGCATTTCACACCTAGGCCTTCAGCGATGTCCTACCTGACATGGAAAAAGTGGGGCTTGGATTTGCCAGGGTTGACCGCATTAAAGAAAGTAAATAAAATGCATTCTCCTTTCTTTCCTAAAGAAGAGTTCAATTACTCTGTTGTACAGGTTATGTGTGTTTCAGTTCCAATAAGTTCTTTTCTATTGCCATAGAGGTTAATGCTGAAAGTTGAGTCTGTCCAGTTGTATTTCTGGCATACATTTTAAATCGCTATATTTGCCTGTAACTCTAACACTACAGTGCTTTTCTGAACCAAGTCAGCTGTACCCTGTCTGGGAGTTCTCCCCAAGCACACTTTCATGTAACTTACAAGCTGCACAGGGGATCCACAATCCCCAGCCATAATTGACACACATCATCTCTAATTACAACCTCCCCCTTCAATTCTTTGCACAAGATACGTCATTTCTAAGTCTTCTTTATACATGCCTAGTTCTTTTGCCCCTTTTTTAGAGTGTATATAAAGGCAAATCTTTTTTTTTCTTGTTTTAGATCCTTCTTTCTACAATTTTTACAGTTATCTTTGTCCTTATTGAAGAGAGTCAGCTCTCTAATTGTCCTGGTGGCAATGGTCACTGAGACAGAAAGTGAATCCAGACATTTTGAGTTGTCACCAGAACAGTAGGTAAAGGTAAATCCCCCAATGGGGACATCTGTTCTTTTCACAACTCGAAGATGAAAATTCTATTCACTTTGCAGAGATCTCATCTAATTTCCTGTTCTGTATCCAGGAAGGGAAATAAGGGTGAAACTCCTCAGAAGGACACAGGCAGCAAAATAAATAAACCTAATAGGGGTTTTACCCATTCCCCACTTTATCTAAAACAAACAAAAAAAAAACTTTTGGCTTTACATGCAGTTTACCAGAACACATTATTGCCAGCTCTGCCCACTGGCTGTCCATAAGCCTCTGCCAAAATTGTACCAACTTTGTACTCACCTAGTGCTACTGATCAACTGTTACTGGTGTCCTTATTTTAAATATTAAAAATAAACCACATAAATGATACACTGGTGAACCACTTTCAGTATTTATTGATGACACATTCTTTAATCTCATGGGGTATGGTCATGGGTCATAAAATAACTTGACAGATCTGTACTTTAAGTGGCACAGAATTTCTGCTTATGGGTAGTACATTCATATTGCTCAATTTGATATGTTCTTAATTAGAAGCACCTTATGCTTTTAAATGTACCTTTAGTACAGTATGTCAGATTTATGGTCCAGTAAAGTTCAAACCCATAACACATCATTTACAAAAAACAAAAAAGACCGATAAACCTTCATATATGCACTGTGTTAGTCCACAATTATTTGGAACATGACATTTCTCATTGGTTAGGGTTAGGAATTGCCATTGCCCAGCAAATCATAGTACAACATGAGAATAATTTATACTTATACACAGTACATACTGTATTGATATCTGGATTTCTTTTTTACTTTATGATTGTATACAATTTAAATTATAAACTTATTAACACCTAGCAAATTAAAGCTAATTTTGCTTCTCCTTATCAACGGTACCATTATTTAATTTTCTCAGTGAGTCAATAAGAAAACATATTAAAAAATAGAATCTATAGAGTTATGTTTGCGGAGGACAAACGGAGTGTGTGACAAGAACATGGTTTATTGAAAATCTCTGTAAAGCATGTAGCTCTGTTTTTTTTGTGTTTTTTTTTTTACAGAACTTTAAAGATTTCTCTGAAAATATCCAAAATTCAAACATATTAGTGTGCAGTAGGAAATGCTTGTATTTTGAAAGAGTTTCTCAGACCAAGCAAAAACTTCTCTTCCTTACAGCTATGTTGTCTCTTGAAACATGCAAGTTGGCATTTGAGAGAATTTGTTTTTTAATTGACCTTCCTAAATTAGTCAAGTGGTGATCTAGATAGCCATGTACATGTTGCACCTGTTTCAAGAGACAATTTAGATGTGAATGAGGCATCTCTGCAGATGGGTTTAGCAATCCTTTAAATTATTCGATTCTGAGCTGGAACAGTAAAAAACTTGTTTGCGTCTCACACTTGTCCTTTGTTCATTACTCCAGGTAATATAGATATTTCTCTGACCCATGACTTTTCAGAACCATAAAAACCTTTTAGTTATCAGTCCATTGCTTCCTTAGTGTAAAACCTTCTCAAGCAAAATTCTGCACATATCCTCATTACACATGCACTTCCACCATTTGGCTTCCCTTCTTCTTGAACACTGGCCCTTTCCCATTCTGCACTGAGGTTTCAACAAATTTAACAGCTACTGGGTCCTTCTTGAATGTCACAGAAAACCTAGACCGGGAAAGAAGAAACAATTACATACCAATTATATATACCACAACACATATTAACATTTTACATTTTTCAAACAAAAATGGATGAACTAGAAATTCTGTTATTTGAGGATAACTTTGAGTTTACGGAAATATATGAAATCTGGTTGGACAGCTCAAATGACTGGGCCACAAATATTGAAGGATGCACTCTGTTTTGGAGGAAGAGAATTGGCAGAAGAGGTGGAAAGGTGCGTATGTACATGAGCAGCGATCTGAATGTGAGTTTGAGAGATGATATCACTAACAAGAACTGTGATGGTGCAGAGTCATTATGATTGGAGCGCCATAAGAGTAGGAGCATGTTATAGGCCCCTAACGAAAAAGAGTGATATTAATATTTTGGGCGATTTTAACTATCCTGATATTGATTAGGGAAATGGAACTGCACTGCAGGATAATTCATGAAATAGATGGTGGAAGCCTCAACAAGGAAAAATGACCTGTTGGATCTACTCAGTTCAATCAAAACACAGAGCTTTCTACAGATCTGCAGGTTAGCAACAGCCTGGCTAATAGTGATTGTGGTGTAATCACATATGCCATAAGTTACAGGAAAGAGAAGCAAGTTGGTATGACAACTCTAAATGTTAAAAAGGCTAACTTCAGTAAGCTGAAATCCTTACTGCACCACACTTATTGGGACCAAATATTTGCAACAAAGAGCACAAAAGGCACATGAAGTGTATGATGAAGTAAACAAGTGAATTTTTCATTGTATTCCATTGGGTAACCAGCATAAAAGAATAAAATTAAAACCTTTTTACCTCAATACAATTTTAAAAATCAAGTAAATGAGAAAAAATAGGCCTTTAAAAAGAACAAAGTAGAAGGCATTCCAGATTTACAAGGTATGCAACAAACAATGCAAGGGAGCACTCGGCGTAGCTAAAATAGAATACAAGAAACACAGCAAGTAATACATAGCTCAACATTTTTTTCAAATATCTCAATAGACATTTTTTTTATAAAAGAACAGATGGGCCCCATATTGGATGAACACAGCAAGCTGCTCACAAATAATAGGGAAAGGCAGATGTGTTAAATCATTTTTTTCTCTTTAGTTTTTACAGATGAAAAAATGATTTTCATAGTACTAATAGTAATATTAATGATGTTTCCCCAAAGGTACCTCTGTAGTTGACCGAAAACCAGATTCAAAACAGACTAGAGATATGTAATGTAAACAAATCACAAGGTCCAGATGGCTTACACCCACAAGTCCTTAGGGAACGTAGCTCAGTTATAGCCAAGCTGCTATTTCTAATATTTAAAGACACCTGACTGGTATGGTATCAACTGACTTGTGTAGAGCAAATGTGGCATCAATTTACAAAAAAAGACTTGAGATATATACCAGGAAACTGCAGACCAGTCAACCTAACACCGATAGTATTTAGGATATTTGAGGAATGTTAAGAAACTCAATACAGAAATTTGCCCGTGATAAAGGTATTATAAGTAACACCCAGCATGAATTTATGAAAGATTGTTATTGCCAGACCAACCTGTTATCATTCTGAGGAAGTACGTGAGAAATTTAATGGTGGAAGTCCAGTTTATCTAGATTTTGCTAAAGTATTCAATACTGTACCTCATAAAGGTTTAATCTATGAAATAGGGTTTGTTGGACTTTTGAAATTGTACTGTATGTGCTTTCAAACTATGTAACTATATAACTACTTGTCAGTGCTAGATAAAGATTGTGCTTTATTGCTTTTCACAGTGCCTGGCACTTTGAAAACATGCACTCCCTATGTCAACTGTTCAAAGAGAAAGACGAATTGTATTAAACCACGAGAGGTCTCTCTAGTGCAGCGGTTCTCAACCTGGGGGTCGCGACCCCTTTGGGGGTCGAACGACCATTTCCCAGGGGTCGCCTAAGACCATCGGAAAACACATATTTCCGATGGTCTTAGGAACCGAGACACCGCTGCTGTCTCCGGCGATGTGTGGGCGGGATGATATGCTGCCCCTGTCACCGCCTCCTCGCCGCTGATTGGCCACCAGAACTGTAGCTCAGGAGAGGCACACAGGCGGCCAATCACCGGCGAGAAGGTGGAGCTTGGAGAGGAGGAGCCGAGCGGCAGCGCGCGGAGATCGAAGAAGATCGAGGGAGCTGCAGGAACGAGTGAAGAGAGAGGCCAGAGAAGGAAGACAGCTGACAGGTAAGTGCAAATTTTGCTGCTGCAGCCAGGTATGCAGGCTGTAGATGGCAGAGGGAGAGAGCGAGCCCAGGCTGGAGCAGGAGTCAGCAATGGTAAGTATCATTGGTGTCAGTGGAAGGGATAGTGCCCCATAATTTGTGTCACTAATACCAACGATGGGGCACTATTCCTCCCCCCACTGACACCAACGATGGGGCACTATTCCTCCCCCACTGACACCAACGATGGGGCACTATTCCTCCCCCCACTGACACCAACGATGGGGCACTATTCCTCCCCCCACTGACACCAACGATGGGGCACTATTCCTCCCCCCACTGACACCAACAATGGGGCACTATTCCTCCCCCCACTGACACCAACGATGGGGCACTATTCCTCCCCCCCACTGACACCAACAATGGGGCACTATTCCTCCCCCCACTGACACCAACGATGGGGCACTATTCCTCCCCCCACTGACACCAACGATGGGGCACTATTCCTCCCCCCCACTGACACCAACGATGGGGCACTATTCCTCCCCCCACTGACACCAACGATGGGGCACTATTCCTCCCCCCACTGACACCAACGATGGGGCACTATTCCTCCCCCCACTGACACCAACGATGGGGCACTATTCCTCCCACTAACGCCAATGATGGGGCACTATTCCTCCCACTGATACCAATGATGGGGCACTATTCCTCCCACTGATACCAATGATGGGGCACTATTCCTCCCACTGACACCAATGATGGGGCACTATTCCTCCCACTCATACCAATGATGGGGCACTATTCCTCCCACTCATACCAATGATGGGGCATTATTCCTTCCACTGACACCAATGATGGGGCACTATTCCTCCCACTCATACCAATGATGGGGCACTATTCCTTCCACTGACACCAATGATGGGGCACTATTCCTCCCACTGATACTAATGATAGGGCACTATTCCTCCCACTGACACCAATGATGGGGCACTATTCCTCCCACTGATACCAATGATGGGGCACTATTCCTCCCACTCATACCAATGATGGGGCACTATTCCTTCCACTGACACCAATGATGGGGCACTATTCCTCCCACTGATACTAATGATGGGGCACTATTCCTCCCAGACACCAATGATGGGGCACTATTCCTCCCACTGATACCAATGATGGGGTACTATTCCTCCCACTCATACCAATGATGGGGCACTATTCCTCCCACTGATACCAATGATGGGGCACTATTCCCCCCACTGATACCAATGATGGGGCACTATTCCCCCCACTGACACCAATGATGGGGCACTATTCCTCCCACTGACACCAATGATGGGACACTATTCCTCCCACTGACGCCAATGATGGGACACTATTCCTCCCACTGACGCCAATGATGGGACACTATTCCTCCCACTGACGCCAATGATGGGGCACTATTCCTCCCACTGACGCCAATGATTGGGCACTATTCCTCCCACTGACGCCAATGATTGGGCACTATTCCTCCCACTGACGCCAATGATTGGGCACTATTCCTCCCACTGACACCAATAATGGAGCACTATTCCTCCCACTGACACCAATGATGGGGCACTATTCCTCCCACTGACACCAATGATGGGGCACTATTCCTCCCACTGACACCAATGATGGGACACTATTCCTCCCACTGACACCAATGATGGGGCACTATTCCTCCCACTGATACCAACGATGGGACACTATTCATCCCACTGACATCAGTGATGGGGCGCTAGTCCTCCCACTGCAAAATTACAGTTATGAAGTAGCAACGAAAATAATTTTATGGTTGGGGGTCACCACAACATGAGGAACTGTATTAAGGGGTCGCGGCATTAGAAAGGTTGAGAACCACTGCTCTAGTGGCTAATTTACACACACATTATAATACATTATATAAAAGCACTCTTTTTAAAAATGTAAATCCACTCACTGAAAATGCATTATACTTTCCCTTTCCCTAACAATATCTTAAAATGAAAATTATTACATGACTCTCTGACATCTTAACGTGTTGCCAGACTTACTGACTCCTTATATGGCAAGTATAATATGACATTTATTGAGGTGTATAACTCATATACAACATACATTATCCGTAAGACTTACTGATCAGTAATCTGGACGTTCAGCTTCTTTTTTGTCATTTCCAGTACTGCTTGGTGAAGTCTAGCCACGATTTCTATTACATGCTCGCTGGTTAATAGGATGTCATTTCCTCCCTTCCCACCTGGTGTGGCAGTCTGCAACACAAAGGTATTTTACTAACGCAGTTGCATAGTAATACAGATATTTCATAAAATGAACTAATATACGGAACTATATAAACTATTGCTACTGTAGGTATTAGGGTTAATGCAAGCATATAAATGAATTGAAACCTAAAAAGCGGACTTTGTAATAATGCAAACAATTAAAACTGGGGATTTTTTTTATCCGATGTGTAGCGTGAAAATGTTTTTTGTACTAAGAAGTACCCTGAACATTTTACTATTTGTCTTGAATTTCTCCTGAAAAGTAGCAGTGCACATCCTGGAATGTGACGGTGCCTAGGCAATTTAGTGGCTACAACCGTATACCTGCTGTGTGAGATCATCCAAGGCACTGTGTTACTGATAGTAAAGAAAGCTGAACATCCACTGGATCCTGTTTTTTCTTCAATGCATTTCACTGGGGTTTATGTTACATTCAAGCATCGTGCCTTACCACCAGACCCTAGCCTCTCCTCCTTTGTTCTCTGCTTGCCTATAATAGGCCCAGATTCTACTTTTCAGGTCCTCTTTAACATGCATTTTCTTCCATCCGTAGGGTGCATCAATAATGCTCCTGTACAGCCTTGTCTATATGTACTTTCTTTGAAAACACACATCAGTCTATATGTGTGTCAATGCATATTCTTTTCAGTAAAAATAAAAAAATTATATCCAGTTTTAATAGTTTGGATAGTCTATGTTCCTATGTGGCAGAATTGTGTATTTGGGCTTGCTGTAATTCTATATTTATATTTTACAGGTATTTATATAGTGCTGACAAATCCACAGTACAATATACAGTATATTGTGCATTACATCAGTTCCTGTCCTCAAGGAGCTTTCAAACTAAGGCCTTGACCTCATTTGCACATATAAAACCAGACAAAGAATCAGCGAGCACTCAAGGAACCAATTGAGCCAGCCGCATATGCACTTAAAAAGGAACCCTAAAACATTACAAATAATCAGAAAAAAACAGTGCATATTTACACATACTATGATAATTTAGGACTGGAACCAGTTAATCTACCTACTTATCTTTGGATTGTGGAAAGAAATCAGAAAACACCTGGAGAACAGGGAGCACATACAATCTCCATGCAGGTAGTGTCATGATTGGCATTCACCATTAAAAATAGGGGTTTAGTTAACAAAGTTTCCTAAATAAATGCTGCTCCATAATAGTGGAAAGTGGGCTCCATAATAGAAAGTTCTGTACGCATTGCTCAAAGTTACCAAGATTCCAACTACTGCATTCAATGTAAATACTTGGTGTTGGTAAAATAGACCATTTAGCAACTCTTTTTGGAATAATATTTTCCATTCTCTTTCATTTTTAAATCTGAGCAGGAAAAAAGCAAAATGGTCATGGCTACTTTCAAACACCAACAAATAGTACCTGGTGTCTGGGTAGCACCACAGCAAAGTTATCAGAAATACAGAGCGTGACAGTGCAATGCTCTGTCACTATGGAAATAGAAATGGACACAGCACTCTCAAACAGTCAGTTTGAGAAGTGCCAGCAGAGATTTTGTAAGCAGAGAAAACTGTATTTTAAGTTATCCCTGGATTTGGTAAATCTGGGTCGGAGCTGGAAGCATGAAAGCTCCAAAGAGTATTGGGTAGGACAAAGTCTTCAGTCTTGTGTCCAGGTTTTCCAGAAATTCTGCAGAGTGCGTGTGTGTCCAGGTGAACACACTCGATATAAGACAGATCTGGGCATAGCTCAAGGGAGGTCGAGGTGGAATAGCAGTAGCTGTTGCTGCAATTTGAAGAGAGAGTCCCCTGGCAGGGCAGCGGGGAGTTCCTGTTGGAGACTACATCCCTTGTGAGGGCGATTCCAGGCCCAAGGACTGTGAAAGTCTTGCCAGCTCAGAGAGTCTGGGAGACCAAGAGAGGGTCTGGGAGGCTGAGAGAACTGCAGAGGCCAGTGACTCCAGGGGGCTAGAAGGAATCTGTGAGTCTTTGGAAGGAGCAAGCTGAGGTACTGGGAAAACCCTGTCAAAAAGCCACATGGGGCCTGAACAGCAAGGTGCTTAGAGAGCCTGAACAGTCAGTGGTCTGGGAGACCAAACTGAGCAGAGGTACTGCTAACCAGAGAGCCAGATGGCTAGGCATTTTCATTGTGTATTATTTTTGGGTGAAGTTGAAACCCCCTGCGTGGGAAATCTTGTGTTGGAAGGACTTTTTATTCACCAACAAAAGTGGGCTACCAGACCCTTAAATTTAGTTACTGTCTAGTATGGACTCACTTAAAAATGTATCTACCACTGAGCTAAACATGCCCCATATCATAAGAGATACAGGAGTAGAGATGATCTTGGACACCCTCTGAACATCAAAATCTTGGTTGGATGCTGGTTACATTAGTGCCTTAATATGAACATATGCTCATATATAATCAATATCATTGGCTAACTATGGGCATATATGTCAATATAAGGGCACTGACATCACCAGCATCCCACCCTTTGCTAACGTGTGCTGCAGGGTGGGTAATGACAAGGCCCACAGCTGATTGATGTAAAAAAAAAGTGCAGTTTTGATGTTCTGACAGGGATGAGTTCAGAGGATGCCAAAATTCAACTCCAGTTAGGAGTCAGCTATGTGATGTGATTATTTGACACAAATGAGGACGGAAATCATAAAAACAGTATGCATGCTGGCAAAGGAATGTAGAATAATACCTGAGCAAGCTTAATAAAAAAGATTCCGTCACTGAACTTGGTAACAGAAACATTGTCAATCTCATTCAACTTCACCAATGACTTCACTTGTCCTTTAGAATCCGCAAGAGCTAAATTACTTTTCGTAAGTAAAAATAACGTGGGAGTTCCCTGTAATTAAAAAAAGACATTTATTAGACTGTTATAGTTAAAGCAGCCATCCAGCCAAATTTGATGGTTTAATGTTGGAGAGAGGCAAGTTGAAACAGCTTCTATGTATCTCCAGGGAATTACTGCACCACAGTTCCCAGGTCAACCAGCCTGAGACTCCGCCTGATAAATGAGGAGGGAGAAACTCTGTAACAGAGTTAAGAACTCCAGCAGGATGGTCTTACAATTGCAGTCCCTAAAAGATATAATTGCCACTGGGTGATTCAGTCCACGAACATCAGTGGTTTAGGTAAAAAAAAGTAAAAATATTATACAAAGGATGATTAGAGATTTGGCGAGTGGCTGACGGACACAATGTTGCACCACATCCTTACATATATATATATATATATATATATATATATATATATATAGATACAGTTAAGGAAAGGTTGTGGGATAATATAAGTGCACAGGAAAAATTGCAATAACTTGTGAAAATTTAAAAAAAAAAAAAACAATTTCGAATTACTGTTGTGCACCTATAGAATCCCACAACCTTTCTTTAACTGCATATATTATACAAAGGATCTCTTAATTTGGACTGCAATGCCATGTTTGGGGTGTGTGGTAAACTTGGTAAACTACATTTTCTGCTTTATAAACCATTTATCTATTTATCTACCATTCATTGAAAACATATTAACTATCCATTCCTAGCATCAAATGGTCACCAACAATGAACAGTACACAAGGGCAAAATATTGGGTGGTGTCGGCCAGGTCTGTCGAAGGGGAAAGACTAAATAAGGTCTGCTGATTGGCTTCCGATCACCGCTATCAGCCGATGGCTGAGAGCGCTGACCGATGTGTTTTGGTGGTGGGGCAGTTATCCTGTCAGAACACAATACCACAGCGGGGCAGATTCCTGTACTAACCTGCTGGGTTGAATGAAAAACGAAAAAAAAAAAAACCCTGATAGTGTGTATGGGGCATGAGTCTTAATCCCAAATAAAACATTTACTGTTTTATCTATTCAAGCACTAATAAAGGTCCAGTAATTAAGAATGATACACAAATTAAATCTTCAGAAGTACAACTCAAATCAGAGAGCAGATCAAAAGAGGCTAACCTGAGAATTCTGTTAAAAAACATTTTCAGTTATTTAAAGAAGAAAAAAAATGAACAGTGTTTATAACAGCTAATACAGAATGCAGACTAGCATGTCACCTAAAAATGATTTATTTATTACAGGCATTAATGTTGGCCACGATGTTTGAGTCGAACATCAGCCGTTTGTTTGTTTGACGAACAGTAAGAGCATTCGCCCGCCATGCCCCCTGACAGTGCATTGTGATTGGCCAAAGCAAAGCACCTGACCACAGGTCAGGTGCAATGCTGTGGTGAATCACAGTGCATGTTGACGTCACAGTATTTAAGAACTGTCATCTTGGTGCAGTTGTCAGATGGCGGGAGCCAGCATTGAAAACAGCGGGGTTTTTTAAAATTTTTTTTGGGTCAGCGGTGGTGTCGGGCATCATGATTGACGTTAGATCTACTTCGGGCCTGGGGGCCCGGTGCCTGCTGCTCCGCCTGGTGATCCGGTGTCCAGCTCGATGTGCCTCTGCCCAGAGTCCAGCCCGATGTGCCTCTGCCCGGAGTCCAGCCCGATGTGCCTCTGCCCGGAGTCCAGCCCGATGTGCCTCTGCCCGGAGTCCAGCCCGATGTGCCTCTGCCCGGAGTCCAGCCCGATGTGCCTCTGCCCGGAGTCCAGCCCGATGTGCCGCTGCCCGGAGTCCAGCCTGATGTGCCGCTGCCCGGAGTCCAGCCCAATGTGCCAGTCTTTGATATCCCGCCAGTTACCAGACCCGGGCGGTGGAACATTTTGCCCAGCTAGGACTGTTTGGAGCGTCCTGAGGCCGCTCCTTGAGGGGGGGGGTACTGTCAGGAATGGACTTGCCAGTAATGGGGGGACTCACCTGCCTTGTGGGCTGCAGTACCAGGGCTGGCCAGCGGGTGCTCCCAGCAATCAGAGACTCAACCCTGCAGCCAGCCAAACACCTGAAACTGCTTATGCAGGTGTATTTAAGTGATGGCCAGACCTGCAGTCTGGGCCTTGGTGTGTGTGTTTTTCCTGGGCCCTGTATCTTGTTCCTGCGTTCCTGTTCCTGTCCCTGTCTCTGTCTGATTCATTGCTGACCCTGCCTGATCCGGACCTCTGCTGACTTCTCCTGTTTTATCCCTGGCTTGTGACCCCGACCATTCTCTGCCTGACCCCCTGTACCTACCTGCCCGATTGTTATTGACCCGGCCTGCCTGACGACGCTTGCATTGTATGTACTGTTATCTGTGGGTGGTTTGGTTTGGTTCGTTTGCACTGTGTTATGTTTAGTATTTGCACTGCATTTATGTTTGTATTGTTAGTCTTTAATAAATTATATTGTTTATAACTTATCTGAAGCCTGCGTTTCCCTGCGTCAGTTCACATACCTCTGGTCATACCCTGGAGCCCTGACAGGACTTGTCAAAGACTGTCTACTGTCATTTTTTACACTACACTTTTTTGTGTTAAAGAGTAGGGGTACCATGTACCCTATAATCACTGGGGCTGTGATCTGGGGGCCCCTTTGTTAAAGGGGGCTTCCAGATTCCGATAAGTCCCCCTCCCACAGACCCCCACAACCACAGTCCAGGGTTGTTGGGAAGAGGCCCTTTTCCCTATCAACATAGGGACAAGCTGCTTTGGGAGGGGGAGCCCCGCTGCCCCAAAGCACCCCCCTATGTTGAAAGCATGTGGCCTGGTATGATTTCAGGAGGGGGTGGGTGCACACTCTTCCCTCCCCCCTTTCTTGACCTGCTGGGCTGCATGTTTAGATAAGGGTCTGGTATGGATTTGTGGCGGACACCAATGCTATTTAAAAAAAAAAAAATTAAATTTTGAAATTGCTGGGCAATGCCAGCAATTCTTTTTACATTCAGCTGTCAGTGGGGAACCCAGCAGACAGCTGAAACATGAAAGAATGTTTTCACTACTAAAATACTGCATAACTTTATAATATAACTCTTTCGATATTTTAGTAGTTTTCCGGTATCTTACTACATACTCAGATGCAGTAAGATACTGCTTAGTGAATTGTCCCCTCTGTTCGAAGTTAGCAGTCGAACTTACATTAGGTTCAATTGTTCAACTGCGAACTGAACAGGGGGTGTTCAGCCCATCTCTAACAGGCATTTATATAGCGCTGACAATGTATGCAATGCTTTATGTAATGTACATTCACATCAGTCTCTAAACCCAAGGAACATACAATCTAAGATCCCTATCTCACATACATACACATACTGGGGCCAGTTTAGACATGAGCCAATTAACCTACCAGCATGTCTTTGGGATACGGGAGGAAATCCACGCAAGCGCAGGGAGAACATGTAAACTCCATACAGATAGTGTCCTGGCCAGAATTTGAGGACCCCAGTGCTGCAAGTGAAGTGCTAATTACTAAACCATTGTGAATTCTTTTTGGTATAATCTTTTTCACCTCTTCTGAAGTAATATTATTAGCAGCCTATTTTCAATGTACTGTATCACAATGCATGCTAAAAGTGGTAATTAGTAGCAAAGAAATCTACAAACCAACTCTTGACAAAAACAAAACAAACAAGACATACCTTGCCGTCAGTTTTACTGATCCTTTGGACATTGGCAGCTACTTCTATATTACCAGGAACAGTTGTAACCAGCTTCTGAAGTTTGGGGTTTTTCTGTATACCCACATAATCTCCCTGGAAAGGTTTTGGAATACTAGGGAGAATAAAATAAAAACAAGTAAGAAATTGGATTGATGTGAAGCAGAACATTTGTGATCCAGTGAGGATTATATTTATTACTTACTAAACATTGATAACGTGTTCGGGTCTTTGGTTCAAATACTATTGGAGCACTATGATCTTGGAGTCCAAAAAATCCTAATTATTGCTAACTGTCCAAATCAGACTTTCATTATTAGATCCAAACAGGGACCAATCATAGCAAATTATATGAGACTAGGTTGGGTGGCACAGTGGCTTAGTGGTTAGCATGTCTGCCTTGCAGTAAATGGGTCATGGGTTCAATTCCTGACTATGGCACCTCCTGCATGGAGTTTGCATGTTCTCCCTGTGCTTGTGTGGGTTTCCTCTGGATGCTCTGGTTTCCTTCCACACTCCAAAGACATGCTGGTAGGTTAATTGGCTCCTGTCTAAATTGGCCCTAATATGTGTACATCTGAATGTAAGTTAGGGACTTTAGATTGTACACTCCTTGAGGGTTAGGGACTGATATGAATGTTCAATATATATGTGTAAAGTGCTGTGTAAATTGACAGTGCTATATAAGTACCTGAAATAAATAAAAAGGTCTGGATCTTGAGTAGGGTGGGGGTAGATTTGGTGAATCCTGGAAGGGATTTTTGGTATTTGAAGTTGAGTGGTATGTGCACAAATGTATCAAACCTAAACTGCAAGTAAAGATAGTGAAAAAGGCACCCCAAAATGTGTATATGTGTTTCTATACTCCTTAATCAGAATAACATACATTCATGAATATATAAAAAAAAACCAATAAATATTATGATCAATTGTATAAATATGGGCTGAACTGTACTAAATCATTCAGAATATTATTATATATATATATATATATATATATATATATATATATATATATACTGTATATGGTTTTTTTTTGGTAGATGGGTACGGGTTAGAAACTTTCTATGGTTTTAAAGGTTTTTTTTTTTGTGTCTTCCTGTCCCAGGACAGCCATTCTCTTCATTTCCATTCCTGGTGTCAATGGGACAGAAAGTGAAAATATATCTCTTCACTGGTGTCAAAGAAAGCTATGAAAACCTGACAGAACTTCTAACTTATTTGCAGCATTAAAAAAGTAGAGATTGACTGGAGCCGTTTATTTAGCCAATCAGTCTTGATACTGCAATAGGCTAAATATAAAATATAAAGAAGAAAGACACGAAGAGCGACAGAATGTTAGATGACTTCCATTATTACTCACGGATCTGTAATTTTTCATTTAACTGGTTTATCACTACAAAGTTAATAATACTAACCTTGCTGGGTAAGATTTCTTTTTACCACGGAAGAGTTCACTGGCACATAGTTTAGCTTCGAGGACAGCTTTGCGTTGTGGGGTTAGCGCTTGCATAAACCTCTTGCACTACACAAAAATAAAAGTAAGAAAATGCTGTACTCACTTCTGCTATTCACTTGTGAATATATTTGGCATGTTGAACTAGATCTATTTTAAAGCCTGTAAAATTGCAATAATTACCAACTGTTCATTATTTAACAAAGTTTCTGTCTTCTATTTATGCGATTACATATTGCAAATGATTACTAGCATGTATATAAGACTGAAGCATAAAAACAGCAGACACAATCGCAGGGTTAGTGGAAAAAATGAACTGCTGACTCACTTCTATTTGGGATGGCGTCCTAAGGATCTAAATACTATTCAGAAAACTAGAATGATGTGAGCTAGACAGCTTACATAAAATAAGAACTGCAGCATGAAATTGACAAAATTTATTATTAGCAAAAATGTAAAAAACAGTATAAGCTAGAATCAAAACCACCACCATGCACAAGTAACAAACAAATAACCGGGCTCACAGGCACACAATACCATACACATGGTTGCTAGTGGGAATGCAAGTGCAGCAGCAATGTAGGGTGGATGGAAACCAGCTGTAGCTAATTGAACTAAGGGATCCACAAGGGGTCAGCATCTGCAGTCACTCTAAGGCCATATGGAAAGTATAAGGCAATGCCTGCTTAAAGTTTTACTAAACCCACAACAGTAAAGCCAGTCTGTATATGCAGTAAAGCATGTTTTATATCCTCACTGTGGAACCTAAGGGGTTAATCCTCTGCATTGAGTAAAAAGGTTTGATCCTGTCTTCTCTGCTACTCCTCTTCTTCAAATGTCCACATCGTATCTCCTGATAAGACAGACTGAACCCGTAGCCATTCTGCACATGCTCAGTTTAGTGTGTCTTCCTAGAGAGGTTTTCTTTTTCTCTTGGGAGAGTGCATGTGATCAGCACAGGGCCAATCAGCACTGTCCAGACAGAGGTCAGGGGTTCTGCATCCACCTAGTGCAGAAAAAAACGTCTCCTACAAGCTTTAACCAGTGTTCTGCTGAACACTGATAGAGGTCACAAGACTGCTCTAACTGATGATGAGAAAAAGGTATTTAGCAGTTTGTATTTACTAAAATAATTGCATTTCCATGTTCTGTGTACTGCGGGAGACCATATACAGTGAATGCAGGGTCCTGGGTTTAATAACACTTTAAACATTGCTTGAAACACAGCAATGCTTGAGTATAGATTGATATTAGACCCACTGATGGTATATGAGGATCTAAAGTCTATGGCAGACAAATGTACTGATATTCAGCTAAGTATAATAGAGTCCTGCCATTTTGACATGAGTAACTGGGTCAATAAAACATGAAGCTGTGCCGGTGACCAATGCAACACCACAACTCATACAGTCAATATATATAAACCTGAAAAACTAACTCTGTCTTGTCCTTTACTCCTTACTAACAGAAATTGGAACAATAAGATGTATACAGTACATAGGCACTAGATGTTCATTAAACATGACTTCTGAAAAACATAGGCATGAGACAACTATCAGCTTGATAAAGGAACTTTGCCTGTTCGCAATAAAAAAGTAATATAAGCTGGAAAGGGCAAAGCCACAGCAATATTGTAGTAGTGTAAATTTGATTCTGCTGCTTAACAATTGTCCAGTAACCATTATCAAGGAAACCTGTGTCAGTGAGAGGTATATGGTGAGCATTCCGAATGCTAGCCATAGATCGGTTGAATTTTGAACCAATTTTCTTTGGAAAAACAGAAATTTTGTGCGTTTTGTCATCTGATAGTGCCACCATTGCTTTCGAAATTCGACCAACTGAATTTGATTCTGCTGCTTAACAACTGTCCAGTAACCATTATCAAGGAAACCTGTGTCAGTGAGAGGTATATGGTGAGCATTCCGAATGCTAGCCATAGATCGGTTGAATTTTGAACCAATTTTCTTTGGAAAAACAGAAATTTTGTGCGTTTTGTCATCTGATAGTGCCACCATTGCTTTCGAAATTTGACCAACTGAATCTTCAATTTCACATGTTGCTATAGAAAAGAATTTTCATGTCTAGGAATCTTCTTTTCTTTCCAGGTCACAGCTCATGCCCATTTATTTTTCTATTATATTTCTCGCATGATTCTCCCATCATTGAGTAGCAATTCATTCATTTTTCCAAAACTTTTCAACATGACCAATCACACAGCTTTGATGACTGCACTTAAATCAGCTGATGCAATGGCCCACTTATGGTGCACAATTCGAATGAAAATTATGATTTTTGAAAGGAAATTCTTTTGGAATTCAACCCATATATGGCCTGACCTTAGGAATCTTTCAAACATGTTGGCAGGTGGTTGGGTCACAGTTTTACAGTTCCCTGACCAGCCACCTAAACAAGGAGCTACGTGATTGCGGCAAAAATGAAACACTCTTCCATGCATTTGGTTGCAGCATGGTGGGACTGCATTTTCAGGGTTAAAATAGGTGGTGAATAGGGGGATATATTAATGTAACACATTTCAGAGGGGTGGCAAGGGCTGCTACACATTAGACTAAGCCCTTAGTGCCTATGTCGCCCAGGAGTATCAGACAAGTATTCAATTACCCCAAAACCTATTTGAAGGCATAAATCAGTAAACAATGCTAGCTGCTGGTAAGATAATTACTGCCAATAAATCTGCAAAGACAAAAATAACCAAAAGGGTGTCAAGATTAGACTGGCCATAGATCACTCAAACTTCAGCTGATTCCTGCTGAATGGGCCATAATTTGATTCGTGGGTGGCTCCATAAACACCACCTGGCTTGACAAAAGTCATTTTAAAAACTTCAATACCAGGCACTTTTACTCCCTTCTTGCCCAGGCCAGTTTTCAGCTTTCAGAGCTATCATATTTTGAATGACCACTGCGCAGTCATGCAACACTGTACCCATATTAAATTTGTATTATTTTTTTCACACAAATAGACCTTTCTTTTGGTAGTATTTAATAACCCCTGTTTTTTTTTTTTTTGATAAATAAATTAAAACAGACCAAAACGTTTGGGAAAAAAAAACATGTTCTTCATTTCTGTTATAACTGTTTGCAAGTAACTATTTCTTCATAAATTTATGACAAAATGTATTCTACTATATTTCTTGGGTGAAAATAACCAAAATCAGTGCATATTATTTAGTTTGTAGGAAAGTTAGAGAGTCCACAAACTATGCGATATACTGTATATCTGAAAATTGATCAATTCTGATGTACTGATGGCCTATCTAATTTCTTGAGTCCCAAAAATACCAGTACAGTAGAAATACCCCCAAATTACCCCTTTTTGTAAAGTAGACATTCCAGGGTATTTAGTAAGAGGCATGGCGAGTTTTTTGAAGTTGTAGTTTTTTGTGACAATCTTTTGGAAAATGAAGAATTTTTTTTTTTTTTTTTACAATCTGTCACCAGTGTAGTACAATGTCATCATATAACTGGTGTGGCGATGATCAGAGACTCTGGCTAGTGAAAATATGCAAAAAAAAAAAAAACTTTTACCTTTTTTCCAATTTTTTTTAATTACTTTTTTCTCTTTTTTTTTAAAGATTTTTTTTTTAACTACCGTGACCAGAGTATAAGTGTTACCATAGTAACACTGCACTATTCTGGGCAAGTGATCAGGATTTTTTTTTTTTAAATAGTATGATTGCTTATACCAGTGAATTTCACTATTATAAGCAATAATTTCTACTTAATGAAATCGATTTATTCAGTGTTTACCATTGTTGTTAGCTGTGATTGGCCACAGTTAATCACATGGAATAGATGGGCTGTGATTGTCCTTGTCTGTAATATGTGATCACTGTGACCAATCACAGAGATCAACACAATAGTACATAATAGATGGCATGAATGAATGCCATACATTGCATGCAATTGTCATGTGATCTGCTGTGTTTGGTCACAGCGATCACATTGTGCCAGCAGCTGATCGGTGATCCGCTGTGTCCGGCAATGCAGCATGGCCCTTGGAGCATGCATGAGGCGCGTTTCTCTGGAGAACGTCATATGATGTCCACCCGGAACAAGGAGTGTCCTGCCTGGTCATCATTTGACAATAGACCTGGGCGTGAACTGATTAAAATTCAACTAAGCAGGGCGGAAAATTATCAGCTGGACAGTAAATGCATCCTATCAGATGTGGTTACTGTTTCCCTAGTGTCACTATATTCAGACAGCTACAGGTGCCATTGCTGCCTAAATACAATAGCTGGCAGTGGAGATTCCTGCATTTTATAAACATTGTTGTAATCCTTGAAGTAGAACCTAAGGCAAAACTCTTCTTTGTTTGGATAGAGTAAGAGAATCTTATAACCCCTTTCAGGTTTTTTTGCCATATGTGTGGCATTGGGGAGATTTCACTTCACTTCCTGTCTCATAGCTGAAACAGAAAATAAGAGTAAATCCCTCCAAAGTGAGGAAATTCCTGGTATGTCACCAGAACAAGTTCCACCATGGGAAAATGGATTTTCTTTTACTTTTGACAACAAGAGTAAACAGAATAAAGAGTGTGACTCTCCTTCATGGGGCACAGTCAGCGAAAAGAAAAAACTGATAGGTGTTCTAATCCCTCTCCACTTTGTCCAAAACTAAGAAAAAAAAGTTTTGCCTTTAGTTATACTTTAATGCTTTTGTTCAGTACAGGCCTCCCTTCTGAAGACTCAATGGACTTCTATCCAGCTCTATCTGTTGCACATTAAAACTCGGCACCACAATTCCCAGTGGTGTACAAAATCAGATGATGGTATAATTCTCCTCTGATTCATCTCCCATAATGTGCAATTAACAAATAAAAAAGGAATACAGCATGAGAGAGTGGCCCTTTAATTTTGTCCCTGTGAGTGGGAGTGAGTACTATCAAAAGCATTTAACATTGGAGTCTATAAAAGGAGCAGGTTCCCACTCAAAAGAGAAATATCATTTTTGGGTTGAGTGACTCAGTAGCACTTGGGAACAACAGCGCTTTCAGTTGAAAGTTTTCACATGGATGTCATTTCTTTCACGAACTGAGAACATACCCAGTCTAGCAGAATAAGCAATTCTTCTCAAACTCAACTTATGTTTGGTAAGAAGTGGAACACAGACATGAGGACATTTAACTAACCTTCCATAGATGGAATATCCTCATTAGTTCTTGATTTACAGGAATTAGAAATTTATATTTTGGCTGTGCCCATGTTTTGTTTGTTGGTGACATAGAAGGAAGGCTGTTCTTCAGTCCTATGAGATATTTTTGAATCTGTGGAGCAGAAAGAACTTTATAACAGATGCAAAATATTTAATCCTTATAACTACCCGGAACAGAACAATGTGTTGGGTAGTCCATTCTGCTATTACAGACTGAAAACGGCTTAAAGACAGACAGCAAGGGACAAAACTATTCAATACGATTGCAATTAGACAGAATACAATATGTACTTTATAACATTATTCGTGACAATGGGCTCAATTCACAAAACAACAATATAAAGATTCTTATTAAAAAAAAAATGATTCTTATCGTAGTCCATTAAAATTAGAAAAATCTGTTTAATATGAGCCCAACGTCACAAAAAAAATGCAGATTTCCAAAGCGCTGTACATAGTACTTTTGTTGTTTCCCAATAAATGCATATACGTTTGAATACTGACATGTGCCCACTGATTTGTTTCACCATCTAGATCCTAGAAAACTTTGGCTGTTAAAATGTTTACCCACATTTTTAAAGTCTTGTTTCCACTAGAAAAAAAAAAATCCTACTTATCAGCTGTTGTTAAATAAAGCAAGATGTCAATATCAGACAAAAGAACCAGCTAATACAGTATGTTAGAAGCAATATATATACAGTGGGGATCGAAAGTTTGGGCACCCAAGCTAACAATTTGTATTAATGTGCATAAAGAAGCCAAAAGTTAGATTTTATTTCCATCATTTACACTTTCAAAATAACAGAAAAAAAAAAAAATGGCGTCTGCAAAAGTTTGGGCACCCTGCAGAGTTAATATCTTGTACTGCCCCCTTTGGCAAGTATCACAGCTTGTAAATGCTTTTTGTAGCCAGCCAAGAGTCTTTCAATTCTTGTTTGAGGTATCTTTGCCCATTCTTCCTTACAAAAGTCTTCCAGTTCTTTGAGATTTCTGGGCTGTCTGTCACGCACTGCTCTTTTAAGGTCTATCCATAGATTTTCAATTATGTTGAGGTCAGGAGATTGTGAAGGCCATAGCAAAAACTTCAGTTTACGCCTCTTGATGTAATCCCCCGTGGATTTCGAGGTGTGTTTAGGATCATTATCCATTTGTAGAAGCCATCCTCTCTTTAACTTCAGCTTTTTCACAGATGGCATCAAGTTACCATCCAAAATTTGCTGAAATTTTATGGAATCCATTTTTCCTTCTACTCGTGAGATGTTCTCTGTGCCACTGGCTGCAACACAACCCCAAAGCATGATTGATCCAACCCCATGCTTAACAGTTGGACAGAGGTTCTTTTCATTAAATTCTGTGCCCCTTCTTCTCCAAACGTACCTTTGCTCATTACGGCCAAAAAGTTCAATTTTAACCTCATCGGTCCACAGAACTTGTTTCCAAAATGCATCAGGCTTGTCTATATGTTCATTTGCAAAGTTCAAACAATGATTTTTGTGGTGAGGACGTAGAAGAGGTTTTCTTCTGATGACTCTTCCATGAAGACCATATTTGTACAAGTATCTCTTTATAGTGGAATAGTGTACCACAACTCCAGTGTCTGCCAGATCTTTCTGGAGGGATCGTGCAGTCAAACGTGGGTTTTGAATTGTTTTTCTCACAATCCTGCGAGCTGTTCTGTCTGATATTTTTCTTGGTCTTCCAGATCTTGCTTTAACTTCCACTGTTCCTGATGACTGCCATTTCTTAATTACATTCCGAACAGAGGATATTGACATCTGAAAACGCTTTGCTATCTTCTTATAGCCTTCTCCAGCTTTGTGAACGTCAACTATTTTCAGTTTCAGTTTTCTAGACAACTGCTTAGAAGAACCCATGGTGCTGATTGTTGGGGCAAGGTCAGATGAGTCTGGGCATTTAAAACCTTTGAGATTGACATCACCTGGTCTTCCCAGACGATGATTGAGAACAATCCATGACACTGGCAGGTCTCAGCTTTGCAAAGGGGGCAGTGCATGCTATAAATTCTGCAGGGTGCCCAAACTTTTGCAGACGCCATTTTTTTGTTTTCTGTTATTTTGAAAGTGTAAACGATGGAAATAAAATCTAACCTTTGTTGACATATTATAAGAATGTCTAATCTGTAACTGGATGCCTTTTGGAGATTTTTCCATCTTTCCTTGGCTTCTTTATGCACATTAATACAAATTTTTAGCTGGGGTGCCCAAACTTTCGATCCCCACTGTATATATATATATATATATATATATATATATATATATATATATATATACACAGTACATGGCACAGGCCACTAACCTGGAGAAGATGGTAACAAGGTTTGGCTTAATAACTCCATTATTGAGAAAAACTGTGCTATCTTTTTAACGGATTGAAGGGGGAGGGGGAGCCGAATAAAACCATACGCAATATAACAGCATACATGAGGATTAAAGAAAAAAAAAAAAAAACAAGAATCAGTCCCTTCTAAATTTTTCATTTTTTTGGTAGATGCTGGAGAGCGAATCCACGTGGCAGTCTCTTACATCAGCAGAGGAATCTGTCGGTGAGATCTCTGTGCTTGTGCACCCTTTGTGGTCATTATAAGGGACTCTCACTTTACCCATTAGCTTTTATATTATGATAGAACATGCCAAGGTGTGGAGAGACACCCAAGGGTCCCATGTGAACAGAGTTAAGATTTATGGCAAGAGGATCTTACTGTTGGAGTATCCTAGATATATAGGAAGAAGACTGATTCAATCCACTCCACTGACATTCTAAACCATTTATTTGATGCCTGTATTGCCTTAAAAGATTACTTGTTATCATTGTTTAGGGCCAATGTGCATTCAGGCATCATACGAATCCATGTTAGTCTTCCAATTTTGTAATGTGAGTGTACCTCAAGAAAAATCCTTGAATTAGGTTTTATTAAGCAAAAACAACTAACATTTTATTGCACTGCAAAATAAAAATCTATACCATAATTTTAATATAAATTACATTATCTGCAATGCTACAAATTATAGTTTACAGGGTACACTGAGCGTTTGTTTTACATCATTGCATATTTAATTAATCTCTTTCTTTTCTGAACCTTATCCAAATGTTAAATACTCTTAAAAACCATAAACTCAGAAAATATGAGAACAAGAAATAAGTATACAATATAATCTTTCATAACATGTCATGATCTGACCAGCCCCTGTTCCCCCGCTCCCCAGTTTGACAGCTCGCAGGGGATCTTCTCCCCCTCCCACCCCCACTAGCTGTCAAAAAGTGGCTGTGCGGGGCTCCACCCACCCGGCCACGTCGCTCATTTACAGCATTCTGTAAATGACAGACTACAAGTCCTGGCAGTCTTAACAGCTGTCAGCTTGAGGTCCTCAATGAACTACCACGGCACTATGAAGCACCGCGGTAGTTCATTTATTCTTCCCCTCAGTATATCTGCTTGCTCGTACATCCTGTACAGCAAGCAGATATTCTGACACATCTGCTGGAGACCTGCATGGCACCAGCGATGTACTGATCACTGGTGCAATGCTTTACAGGCTTCTGCAGACAAAAATAATAAACATTTTACCTGCAAAAAAAATGTTAATTTATTATTTTTTACTAAAAGGTGAACTTATTTTTTAAGTTATATTGCCTTCTGTTTGGTCTAAACAATTAAAAATAAAAATTACAAATAGAAAGGGTACATTGTAATTGTTTATTATTTGAAATCATACCTAGTCAGTTTGTTCACAGATAACTGTATGCTACTATTTAATGCATTTTAACATAAATGTAAATGTATATAACATTTGAATGTGAACGTACCAATTGCAACATGTTTTGAGACACAAAATATAGCCATAAATAGGACATTGCAGATGTTTGATAGCAATGGATTGTATGGTGAATTATTCTGTATGTGTTGACATTTTATGAAGCTTCATACCATGAAATCATCGAAGTAAAGCAGCTGTAATGGGAAACTAGCATAAAGTGCATGAAAATTAAAGAACTCACAATTCTCCTGTAGATGAAGTTTGCCACAGTGTTTGCTGCAGAAGAACGGAATTGTTTTCTGTACTCCTTCCGCACCTGCAAATAAAAGTGTCAGACATGAAAGAGTTTCTGTCAGGAACTTAAAAAATAAAAAGTACAGGCAAAAAAAAAAAAAAGTTAATATGCTTAGGGAGGCACTAAAGCGCAGAGTAGATAGGCTGACTCTGAGTTTCAGTACCAAAACACAGTTCCTGCTGGTAAGAAGCTCCATTCCAAGCTTATTGGACAACAGAAGATTTTCCTGTGACCGCTCTTGTCTTCAGGTCTCTAATACAAAGACAAATGCCACATCATGCTCAGGAGCCCCTGCAACTGGACTTTTGCTGCAACATTTATCTGGAGGTATGTATTTTAATAACTATATATACCTGGATATATGTGCACAGTTCCACCAGGACTTGGATCATTTTGTTGTTATACCTGTTTGTACATTGCTAATACCTGTTTGTACATTGAATGTGTATGTACTGTTATTAATCTCTTCTTATATATATATATATAGTATTATTTCTATATTAGTGTACATCTATGTACTTATGGTTAAAGCAGAACTGTAGTTATATGTTCTTGTTGCTGATTTCCTACCTTCACTGAGTACAGTGAGTATAGAGAAGCATTGCCCCCTTTAAAACAATTGCATTTTGTTGCTTTGCAGCCTGAGATGAAGACAGACACAGTAGTTGTTTTATCACTGAGTTGGAAAAAGGATCATCCCCTTGATTCAGTATTTTGTTGAACCACCTTTTGCTTAATTACAGCCTTTAGTTCTTTGCAGAACTGCTACTGTAGTCTTCAAGTCATTCTACAGATTTTCAATGGGGTTGAAGTCTTGGCTCTGACTAAGATATGAAAAGACATTCCCTTTTTCTACTTCAACTACTGTGTGGTCATTTTTGCTGTGTTTTGGGTCATTGTCATGTTGGAAGGTAAACCTTCTTCCCATTGATGACTTTCTTGCAGAGAGCTGCAGATTATCCTCAAGAATTTGACGGTATTGTGCCCCATCCATTTTTCTTTCTATCCTGACAAGTGCTCCAGTCCCTGCTGCAGAGAAACACCCCATAACAGGATATTATATCACCTCCATGCTTTACTATAGGAATAGTGTTATT